ACCCTTCAACTCACCATAAGCAGCATGTGTTAGGTACATGTATGTGATGAGAGTTTAATCTTCTTGCTTGGTTGATTGTAATATGCCTCTCACAGTCCTTTATTTTATATGTACACATTACCATATTTAAATCTATGAAAATCATGGCATTTGCAGGTAAATGGATAGCACTGGAGAAGATAATGCTAAGTGAAGTCAGCCAATCCCAAAAAAACAAATGCCGAATGTTTTCTCTGATATTAGGAGGCTGACTCATAGTACGGTAGGGAAGGAGAGGAATAGATGAATTCTAGATAGGGAAGAGGGATGAGAGGGAAAGGGAGGGGGCAGGGGATTAGCAAGGATGGTGGAATGTGATGGACAACATTATACAAAGTACATGTATGAAGACTTGAATTGGGTGTCAACATATTTTATATACAGAGATATGAAAAATTGTGGTATATATGTGTATTAAGAATTGTAATGCAAAAAAACCAAAGTATGTGTATAAAGGCATAAACTGGTGTGAATACTTTATATACAGATATGAAAAATTGTGCACTATATGTGTAATAAGAATTGTAATGCTTTCCACTGCTGTCGTGTATTTTAAAAAATTAAATTTAATTTAAAAAATCTATGTTTATGTTTATATACATAGATGTGCACATATGTATATAAATATATAATGCCAAGAACAAATGATGTGGAAGCTGTTAATTAGGAGTTGCATTGTTTGCAGGGAATTTAAAGACTGATAAAATATGCTAAGAGTTTGTGAGCTTTTTATTATCATTATGTTGGAGCAATTTTAAACAATGTCAGTGGTAAAATACTTGTCCCCACGGCCAAATAACTTTAGTTGTTCTAGGTTCTAAACAATTATTGCAGTTATTATTGAGTTGTTTTTTAATTTAGTTATAGATGGACACAGTACCTTTATTTATTTTTTATGTGGTGCCAAGGATCCAACCCAGTGCCTCACACATGCTAGGCAAGTGCTCTACCACTGAACCACAACCCCAGCACCATATTATTGAGTTTTAATAATAAATTTGTTAGAAGTCTTAACTATTAAATTTGGAAGGCTCAGAGAGATCATCTAGTCCAGCCCCATGGGGTTATAGAACTGGAGACAGAGGCCCATAGAAGGGAAGGTTATACAGCAGAGTGGGGCAAAACCAAGACACTTCACTGCCACTACCAGGAAAAAGGAGTCCTATAAAACATAGGTTATCATCTTACATCTGGCTCCCTAATCAGCAATCACATTCAGGGGGCCACCAAGTGGGAAGAACACTTCTGCCTGAGTCCATTCCTTAGCATGACAACCTGCTTCCACACACTTTGGACCTAATTCAAGGATGTAGGGGCTTACCTTGGGAGAAGCAACAGAGCATCACCTCTTTCTATTGCTTCCTCTATACCCTGGAGGACTGGGGCTGTCAGTTACCTCTGTGCCCTCTAGGGATCTTAGCCCAGGGCTGACACTTTGTAATTCAGAGAAACAGTGAATAAAGCAATATGTGGTTTGCCAAATAATAATAATAATCTTGTTAACTTCAAATACCATGTTTTACTGCTTATCATTTAATACACATTGGATTTTTCATAGAAATTAACTTGGGAAACTCCCTAGATGGTAATAAAGATTCAAAGGCAGACCACCTGGCTCCAAAGATTTTTTTTTTTTTTTTTAAATATTTATTCTTTTAGTTTTCGGCGGACACAACATCTTTGTTTGTATGTGGTGCTGAGGATCGAACCCAGGCCGCACGCATGCCACGTGAGCGCGCTACCGCTTGAGCCACATCCCCAGCCCTGGCTCCAAAGATTGTGTGCTATTGGTCAGTGTTACTCTGCCTTCACATTAGCTTGAGATTATCAAGAGATTTATAACAAATTGCATGTGTTCTTGTTGCTATTTAACACAGACACAAATGTTTTCCAATTTTGACTTTCCAACATCCTTTATTATTCTATATTATGAAATAGGAAGTGGGGCTGAGAGAACATAAGAGACTACGACAGCATGATAATTAACACAAATAGAATGTAAATGCCAGTCTTCTCTGGAAAGCAAAATGTAGTTCACATACATCCTTTTTTAAAAAAAATTTTAATTTGTTATGTATGACAGCAGAATACATTACAATTCATATTACACATATAGAGCACAATTTTTCCTATTTCTGGTTGTACACAAAGTAGAGTCTCGCCAATTGTGTCTTCATACATGTACTTAGGATAATGATGTCCATCTCATTCCACAGTTCATATTGTCTCTTTAGTTTGCTCAGGTCAGTTCAGGTACCAGAGTGGAAAATAGTTTTATGATATTAAATTTATTTATTTATTTTTTGTGGTACTGGGGATGGAACTCTACCACTGAGCTACATCCCCAACTCTTTTTAAAAAAATATTTTTAGTCATAGATGGACATAATAGCTTTATTTTATTTACTTTTATGTGGTGTTAAAGATCAAACCCAGTGCTTCACACATGCCAGGAAGCACTCGACAACTGAGCCACAACCCCATCCCCCCAATTATTTTTATTTTGAGAAAGGGTCTCACTAGTTACCCAGGCTGGCCTTGAACTTGCAATCCTCTTGCCTCAGCCTCCCAGTCACTGGTATTACAGATGTGGGCCACCATGCACAGCTGGTGTGTGCTTTTGTTCCTGTCCTTTCTTAAGCAGTTGTGATAGTCATAAAACCTTCATCAGATGGAGCACCATGATCTTGGACTTCACAGTCTACAGAACCATTAGCTAAATGAACTTCTACAGTTTATAATTCACCATCTGAAACTGTAATATTCTGTTATAGCACTAGAAAAACTAAGGCAACCTCCTGAAAGGGCAGCATGCTGAGGTGACAGTTGCCATTTCTAAACTTGTCATTATCAGGGAAAACAAATTTTATCAACTTTTAATCTTTGAATAGAGAACTTCAACAAAAATAGGACTTCAGAAAATACATGACTAGTGGCTACTAAGCCTAAGATTTAAAATCTCTGGCAGACTTATGGAGTTTTTCTCTGTAAATTCATGTGTATCTGGCTTTGTACCTACAAATGCTTAACAGTTATTAAAATTTTGCCCTTTCCTTTAATACACACATTTAGTACATTTTTCCAACCATTAATTGAAGACTTAAAAAAAATGCTGACATCCTCCCGAGAACATCCAAGAAATACAGCATCAAGCAATATACAAAGGCTTAACCTGCACTCTTGCTATAATCCATGAACGAGCATGTATTAAGTGGTTTGTGTATTACTGTCATTGAATAAGCCTGAGTCTTTATCATACCTTGGAGAGGATAATAAGAGGGGAAACAATGTTTTTTTTTTTTTTTTTTAATCCTATTTCCAGACATTACACAGCAACTTGGTATTTCACCAAATTCATTCCAACCTAACGCCGTCAGTCGTAGTCCCACCAAGAACCGCCAGGGCAAGAGTCATCATTTTCATCTTTACGTGGAGTCTTGGAAATCCACAACATGACGTCTTCGCGTTAGGCGTAGACGAGGAACAATTGGACCCTCGTGGAGGTGGCCCGGGTCTCTCCGCAGGGGTCTCAGTGGGCGGAGAAGCGATGGAGCAGGCGTTTGAGTGCGGCCTCCATCAATCCTTGAGGACTAGGCAATGGTGGAGTTGTGGGAGGGCCAACGGCCAGGTTTCCGAGCCGGCGACACTGAAAGATGCCCCTGGACAGGTTGGTCCTTCTGGCGGGAAGAAGCGCCGCTCGGGGGAGCCCACAGCTCTCTCCATCTTGGCTGATGGAAGTGGGCAGCGGCGTCCGGGTCTCCCCCTGGTCGTGATGGCCCATCATGGCCACACGGACTCGTACTACGAAAGTGGTAGCCGTTCCCTCCGCCGAACCAGAGTCCAGTCGGGGCTGCTCGTGGACAAGTTTCCCAGTCCCATGGGGTTCGGTTCAGAATGGGCCCCAGGTTCCCCCAGCAGTTCCAACAAAATGGAGGACGTCGTCTCCTCTTGCTGCAACCAGGACGGGAAGTGAGGGGACTGTTCCCCACCGGGGGAGGCGAGGGAGGAGGGGCCTCCTGGATGCTCAGGTACCTACTTAAGCTGCGTTCCCGACCTCCCCCTCATCCTCGCTCTAGTCATCCCGGGCGTCCTCCCTCGCTGGAGCCTTCCAGGGACTGGAGAGAACGTTGGGGCATCGAGGCCGCATCTCTTCTCGAACCGAGGAAACGGCCTGGAGCCCGGGCGCGAGGACAAGTGACCCCGCTTCAATTGCTCCCGGCTGTCCCGGCTCTGAGAGTCAGAGGCCCAGCGACGGAGCCAGGCAGCGGATTCCCGGGCTCCTGAACCCAGCCGGACCAGGTGGGTGGGGGCGGGGCGAGGCGGGAGGGGCTAGGAGAAGGGACGCGGCGGGAGCCGCGGAAGACCTTCGGTGGGGGAATGGAACGGCAGAGCAGGAGGTGTGGCCCGCGACTGAGGGACTGTCATTCGGACCTCCCCACGAGGGGTGTCCTGAAGGAAGGCCAGTGTAACCAATGAGCGTGCCCGAGGCACCCAGGCTCGTCTCCGACCGCAGCCAATGAGCATGCAGAGGGCGGAGCATATGGGGGTTCGTTCGCATTGCGCCTCCGCCTTCTCATTACCAGCGCTAAAGCCGCAACTGGAATCTGTAAGTACGTGTTGCCGAAGGGGGTGGGTCAGGGGAGGGGAGATTTCATTCCGCGGAGCCATATCTAGAACCCGTGAGGCTTATCCCCGCTTTCAGGGTCGTGGAGAGTAGGGGTGGCTAGAAGCGACGCAGTCTCCTAGGGAGGAGGCGGAGGCTACTGGGGAGGCGGAGAAGGGTGAGGGCAGTCTCCTGAGCGTCCCACCGTTTCGGGCTTGATACCCTTTGGTGCGGCCTCCGTAGCCGCTACCGCTTCGGGGCCTCAGTGGCTCTTTGGGGCGGCGCTCCTGTCACAGGCACCTTAGGTGCTGCCCGAGAGCTGCGTGAGTGTGGTGGCGGCCGAGCGAGCCTAGTGAGGCGGTAGCCAGGGGTGGGCTGGGAGGTCTCGGGGTATTTTTCTCTATTTTCTGCGGGGGAACCCCGGCCGGCTTTGCTGCTCTCGAGTCTGCCCTCCTAACCTGTCGTTGGAGCCTACGTCCCCCAGGTTTTTTCGGGACTAAGATTGTTGCTTTTGTCCCACCGGCTCCCCTTCTTAGCTCTTATCTTGCCCGGCGCTGCGAGGCTTCTTGGGCGAGTTCCTAATGGCGGACCTGGAGCTAGTCGCCAACTGCCCGCAGACAAACCTCGGGTCCAGGGCCACTACTTGCCGCAAATGCTGCTCAACCGTGACGTGAGCTTCTCTCTGCGTATTGGTTCTCGAGTGTCAGGGATGAAGCTGGGTGGGCAAATTTTGGAGGGAATACGAATCCCTTGCTGGCGCTGAATCAACGTTTGCCCTGCCCCCTCTCTTCCTAGGAGCTGACCTGGTGCCCTTAGCTCAGCTCACCCAACCCCACCCCGAATTCTGTAATTTGAAGAAACAGGTTTAGCTTTGTCTCTACGTTGTGGTTTTGGTTTTCTTTGAGTTTTTCAACAACGTGCGGGGCTGGCAGAACCGCGCAGTAACTTCATGACCTATCCCTTTACATCCTCTTATGTTGAGGAGTTGGTGGCACCACACAGTTTGGTTGTAAATCATTTTTTATCTCCTCTACTCTAGGACCCGGAATCACCTTCAGGGCAATTTGGTGAAGCTTTGGCAGAAATTAATACAGAAAATATCTCTATTGTGAGTCATTTTATCCCATTTTCTTGTTTAATATATTTAGTGAAATAGTAGGTTGTTCTTCCTGTGAGATTACCTCCCTGTTATCTTGAAGGCAAAGAGTAATTATTTTGAGTGGCCTCTGTCCCCAGAGCCAAGCAAGGATAATCTCCGTGAAAGCACTGGAGTGACTGCTGGCATTTACACAACTGCTACTCTCTCAGGGGCTTCCAAAATAGGACTGTTTGTTCCATTTTATAGAATGCATTTAACATTTTTGTCTTCCTTTCCAGTGGATAGATTTTTTTTCTTTCTGGATTTTTAAATAATTAAAAATAAAATATTAAAAGAAAAAACTATGGCTTGTATTATATTTGAGGAAGATTGATTTATATCTATATCTATGTATATTTCTGTTTTTTTGTTGTTTTTTTTGGTACCTGAGATTGAACCCATGGGTGCTTAACCACTGAGCCCCCCCCCCCCCCCAGGGTCTCCCTGAGTTGCCTAGGGCCTTGCTAGGTTGCTGAGGCTGACTTTGAACTTGCAACCCTGCTGCCTTGGCCTCCCAAGCTGCTGGGATTACAGACCTGTGCCACCACATCCAGATGATTTATATACCTTGACAGTACTCCAGCTGTATCACATCAGGAAATTCATAATCTAGTTGTAGCATTTACTACTGAATTAGCAGTGATTGCCTTGTCCCTTCATTATGGTTAATGGGCTTTTTCTTTGTTACCAGAAAGTACTATGTGTTCCTTGTGATACAATGCAGATGCTCCATTCTCCGTCATCTATTCAGTTAATGATTTTAACACCAATGATGATTTAAAAAAAAAAAAAAAAACTCCTATTTTTATCATGTGGGATTCTGTTGTGTCTTAGGTCTGCTGCATTTTTATCCTTTCAACACTGATCATTTTTCTATTGTTCAGCACAAAGAACTTTGTGATTCACTTATTCTCCATGCTTTCATAGTAGTATTACAGCCTTCTCTTTGCTGGAGTTGCTCCCTGCAAACTAAAATTGTTTTGTTTTGTTTTGTTACTGGAGTCTTAACCCAAGGGTGCTTTACCACTGAGTTACATCCCCAGACCTTTTTATCTTTTTTTATATTTTGAGACACTATCTCATTGAGTTGGTTAAGGCCATCTCAGTGGGTTGGTTTGGGCCTTGCTAAATTGTTGAGGTTGTCCTTGAACTTGGCCTCCTTTCTCAGGCTCCCAACTCCTGGGCCTGGCTGCAAAGTTAAACTTATTGCAGTTGTTTTATTCTTCTTTATTTTTTCTTTCTGTTTTTTTTTTTCCTTTCATGAAAATTGAGGCCAAGGCCTTCCTTACACGTGCTTATAGCTGACCTATATTCACAGCCCTACGTTTAACTTCTTACACAGTACTTCTAAACCACACCTCTTTAAGGACACAATGTCAGGATATAGAGTTTTGTGTCTAGCTTTTAGGAACAGAAATTACTTCAAGTGGATAATTTTCACAGGATTCTTAGAGTGGTAACATTGGAGATTCCATAGAAGTTTGGTGAGATGATGAGATGTGGGGTGTGGTTCTAGAGCTATGATGGATCTTGTAGGAAAAGGAAATTAATGAGAACTAAAAAGAAAAAGATTGGCCAGGTAATATGTCACTGACTCAGTTATTAGCACTTAGGCTATTTTTCTCAGAAGTCATCAGGTATTTACGCCATGCTGTTGTGCAGAGGATTTGCTTTTTGTGCCAGCCAGAGTAAGGTTCAAATCTCTGCTCTCTTACTTTGGCAAGTCAGTTATTCTGTGAGCCTTTATTATGTACATTTTACAAATGAATAAAGTAAGTATCTTCCTAAGATTGTTATGAAGATTGTAAAATTCTTGGGCCATAAATTATGGGACACATACATAAACACACATGTATTTAGTTAATGGTAATTAATGATAGTTTTTTATTTTTCCTTCTGGTAATTGAACCCAGATCTTCTTATGCTAGGCAAGCATGCTATCACCTACCTACATCCCCAGCCCTCTTTATTTTTTTTAAATTTTGAGGCAGGATCTTGCTTAGTTGCCCAGGCTATCCTTGAACCTTCCTGCCTTAGCCTGAGTAGTTGGGATTACAAGCATGTGCCACCAAGCCCAGCCTACGATTCTATATGTGTATGCACATGGGCAGGCGCTAAGCATGTGCTGGACCCCTGAGCTACTGCCTAACCTTGTAAGTATATAGAATTTGTGTCCTCTTTTTTTCCTGAGATTTCCTCAGTTATATCTTTCAATACTTTTATTGAGTTTATTCTGTTACTAAGTGTTTAATTCCTGGCATTTTTAAAAATTAGAAATGTAAAACTTTTAATGATGTTTGCTCATCCCTTATCCATCTAGAGTACTAATGATAGTTATGTGGTTTTTCATTTTCTTTTTTCTGCACTGTCATGTTTGTTTTTCCTCCTTATCTTATTTCACATTAGAGGCTTTCCCCAATACTTTCAATTCTTTTTTGTTTCATTTCTGTGTTTATTTTTTGTTGTTGTTCTTTTTAGTTATACATGACGATAGAATGTATTTTGACATATATACATGGAGTATTACTTCCCATTCTTGTGGTGTACATGATGTAGAGTTACACTGGTCATGTATTCATATATAAACATAGGAAAGTTATGTCTGATTCATTCTACTGTCTTTACTATTCCCAACCCCACTCCTTTCCCTTCCTCCCCCTTTGTATAAACCAGTGAACTTCTATTCTTCCCTCCCACCCCCTTTTTGTATGTTAGTATCCACATATCAGAGAGAACATTTGGCCTTTGGTTTTTTGGTATTGGCTTGTTTAACTTACCATGATAGTCTTTATTGGCAGTTGCCACAATTTCATTCTTCTTTATGGCTGAAATACTTATTTTTTTAAATATATTTTTAGATGTTGATGGACCTTTATTTTCTTCATTTATTTATATGTGATGCTCAGAATTAAACCCAGTGCCTCACATGCAAGGCAAACATTCTCTACCACCGAGCCCCAGGCCAAATACTTCTAATTCTTGGCTAGCCTACTTATGATTAAGAATTATTGGGGCTGGGGTTGTGGCTCAGAGGTAGAGTGCTTACCCAGTGTGTGTGGGGCGCTGGGTTTGATCCTTAGTTACCACATAATAATAAAATAAAGATATTGTGTCTACCTGTAACTTAAAGAAAAAAATGTGAACTACAACCCAGACATGGTGGTGCATTTGTGTAATCCCAGCAATTTGAGAAACTGAGGCAGGAGGATCACAAGTTCAAAGCCATCCTCAGCAGTTCAGTTAGGCACTAAGCAACCTAGCAAGACCTGTCTCAAAAGTAGTGGTGGGGCTGGGGGGTGCCGGGGCTGTGGCTCAATGGTAGAGTGCTTGCCTAGCATGCATGAGGCACTGGGTTCGTTCCTCGGCACCACATTGAAAATAAATTTAAAGAAAGATATTGTGGGGCTGGGGATTTGGCTCAAGCTGTAGTGCGCTCGCCTGGCATGCATGCGGCCCGGGTTCGATCCTCAGCACCACATACAAACAAAGATGTTGTGTCCTCCAAAAACTGAAAAATAAATATTGAAATTCTCTCTCTTTAAAAAAAAAGAAAGAAAGATATTGTGCTGGGAGCCATTAGCCAAGTAGGTATGACAATTTCCTTGCCAGCGTACCCCATGTTGCTGACATTTTGCAGTGACATTGAATGTAGGTGACCTTGCTCAAGGACCAGGGCGGATTAGGGTGTTCCCGGTTTAAGATAATACTGTTTAGGGCGTTCCCAGTTTAGGTTCCAGGTTTAAGGTTTAAGATTATTCCTGCTGGGAATAGGGCGTATCCTGCTGCCTGAGTTCCCCTAGAGTTCTCACGGGATTCAGACAGTATATTTTGGGAGAGAGAAGCCCAGTGGAGGTGGATTTGGGCAGAGAACGTGGATTTCCCCAGAACGTGATTGTAGACGGCTGGTGTGAGTTCGGGAATAAAGAGTTGCTGTCTGAATCTACAAGCTGTGTGGTGGCTCGTGATTGTGTGCCCAGCCAGACTGTGGCATTTGTGCCCAGCCAGGCTGCGGCAATATTGTGTTCATCTACAACTTACAAAAATTTTTTTAATTTAAAAAAAAGCGGGGGCGGGGGGGGGATGGGGCTCCGTGGTTAAGTGCTCCTGGGTTCAATCCCCAATACCAAGAAAAAAAAAATTTTTGTGGACTACAAAGCTGATTGGAAGAGTGAGAGGTGAGGGTGTTGAGGGCCTCGCACCCTGGTGGCGGCCACTCAGAGGCTCCCGCACGTACTCCTCCATGTCCCCGCCTTCCCTCGCGGTGGCCCGCCCCGTCTCCACCTCCCTCCGCAGCCCCAGCGGCCGTCATCTCGCCAGGTCTGGGTGCCCGTGGGAGCGAGCGGCCTGGGGATCCTCGCTGCCCAGGATGCCTCCTCTGGGCGCGGGCTGAAGCCAAAGCAGGCCTGGTCCACAGGTGGCGGAGCAAGGAGCAAACCACTCAGAGGAGGCAAGATAGAGGGGCCAGGCTCCACCCGCTCAGCTGATTGGCTTCTCTGCAGTGATGCTCATTGGGCTGTTTCCCCGCCCTTTCAGACCGCGGAGCTGCTCATTGGGGGACTCTTTTGGCTCCGGCCACGTGACCCAGCCAATCTGCCTCAGGAGTGGGAAAATTTAAAAATGACCTAAGAGTTCTGGTTGAGAGTGCTCCCTGGAAGTGCCGAGAAGTGGCGGTTGGGCTTTCCGGGAATTCCTGGAGAGCTGGGTGGTGCCTCCTGCATGCTAAAAATAAAGTTCGTTCCTGCTTGACAAGTGGCTCCTGAATTGTGCCCAGCCAGACTGCGGCATGAGGGCAGGACTTTAAATTTAGAGCTTTGGTGTAGGATGAAATTTTTGCCAGTTGATAGGGAACTACATAGGTCATTTTTAGATCTTTGCTTTTTACTGTTCTTAAATCCACAGGGAAGAGTCTTGAGAAAGAAGTCTTCCAGAGAAGAGCCTACTTCCTAGAATATAGAAGTCTGGATGTGAGTTCTCTGAGAATCATATGGGAGAGGGAGTATTTCATATGCATTTGTTGTGTTTGGTGCACCTTGAATATCTTACATTCTATTCTCACCAAAGAATTGAATTTGAGAACTTTTGCTAAGAGGGAAAAGGGTTGTCACTCTCAACATAATGAGAGGGAAGTGTCTAGGACTATCTCCCAGCTTTTTTATTTTAGCCTTCTACTCACACTTTTCGAGGGAAATCTGATACAAAAAATTTCTAAGACCTTTTTTTTTTAAAGATTTTTAAAAATTTATATGTGGTGCTGAGAATCGAACCCAGTGTCTCACACATGCTAGGCAAGTGTTCTACCACTAAGCCACAATCCTAGCCCATCTGACCTTTGATAATTGTAGTATAAATCAGGATGATCTCAGCTTTTTTCCATCATATATTTAAGAGTTTGTGTCAGACCAGCTTAATTAACCAGTTATTCCTTTTCTCTTTAGGTTGTAAGATTTCATTGCTTTGGTTTCTTGTTCTTTATTTCCTTGTGGGTAGGATATTTACTGTTTGGGGGGTTTTGGAAGGTAGTGAAGCTAGTTGTATTATCATCCCACCATCTTAATCCCTATCAGGCTATTGATTTCTAGATAGTAATTTTATACCTAGGCACTGTAATAATTCTCTTGCTCTTTGTAGTGGTGTTTCATTTGATTCTTCTTTCTCATACTTTGTTGCATTTGTTAGTAACCTTCAGAATCATGGTACTTTATTACTGATTTTATGGGTTTTTTTTTTGTTTTTGTTTTTGTTTTAATAAAAACGTAATGTCTGTGGGTTTTGTTTTGGTTTTGGTGGTGCTGGGGATTGAACCCAGAGCCTTGTGCATGCTAGGCAAACATTCTACCAACTGAGCTATATCCTCAGCTCTGATTTTAAATGAGAATGATTATGGCATATATACTCACTTATATGAAGCTGGCTTTGGAGTTGAACTTTTTTATATTGATAAAATGTGTTAGGAAATGATGAGTCTACAGAGATGCTGAAGAAGAACATGTTGTAAATGTGGTACTGAACCTTTAGCATGCTAAGCATGCACTCTACTGCTGAGCTACACGCACTGACCCCAAGTCTGATTTAAAACTAGGTGTAATACTAACCACCAATTTTTAGTTTTTCAGAGCTGTATGACTGTAGCAAGCTGAAGATTAAAGAGTGCTCTTTCTAATAGGCAAATATATAGAGACACAAAGTAGATTAAATGATTGGGGCTGGGAGAAAGAGGACAATGGTTATAGAGTTTCTTTCTTGTGATGAATTCTCTAAAATTGACTGCTGTGATGGTTGCACAATTCTGTGAACATAAAAAACAAACATTATATACTATAAGTGAGTGAATTTTAAGATGTGTGGATGATATCTTAGCAAAGTAAATTAAAAAGAATGCCCTTTCTAGTTTTTTGTTCTGTGAGAAGAGGAAAATAGGGCCTAACAACCAAAATAGGATACCATGAAGTTGATACAGCCCTTTTCCAGAAGGATAAGTTTATTCAAATATAAAAGGTCAGACAGAATTGATGTATTTACCACCTTTTTAAGTTTATATAGTTAATATAATTATAATCTCTTTCCTTGAAAATTAACCTCCTAATAAGCTTAATGGATGAATATTAACTGTGATTTCAGTTTTTGTTTGTTTTACAGACTTTTTTAAAAAATAATTCTTAGATGGACACAATACCTTTAGTTTATTTATTTGTTTTTATGTGGTACTGAGGATCGAACCCAGTGCTTCACGCATGCAAGGCAAACGCTCTACCACTGAGCTAGAACCCCAACCCCTCTTTTACAAACTTTTAAACTGATTATTTATATTTGTTTATTTGTTCGTCTCTTCTCTTTCTCTCTCTCTCTTTTTTTTTTTGGTACTGCTGGGCATCAAACCCAGGACCTGACATAGGTACTTTACCATTGACCTATACTCCTAGCAGTTACTTCTTTGCTTTATCTTATTTATTTTGGGATATTAGGGATTGAACCCAGCAGCACTTAACCACTGAACCACCTACCCAGCCCGTTTTTCTATTTTTTTTTTTTTTTTAAGAATTTTAATATTTATTTTTTAGTTTTCGGCGGACACAACATCTTTGTATGTGGTGCTGAGGATCGAACCTGGGCCGCACGCATGCCAGGCAAGCGCGCTACCGCTTGAGCCACATCCCAGCCCCCATTTTTCTATTTTTTATTTTTTATTTTAAGAAGAATCTCGCTAAATTGCTGAGACTGGCTTTGAACTTGGAATCCTCCTGCCTCAGCCTCCCAAGCTGCTGGGATTATAGGCTTGCACTGTGGCACTCTCCCCAACTGCTTTATTTTAATTTTGATTTTATTATTGTAATGAATTGGCTCATCTTGTGTGTGCACAAGCAGAATGCTAGTTTATGTTTGAGAGTGCTAGTGCTTATATACCTGGGGTGGGGTTGGTGCTGGGGATTGAACCCTGGGCCTCAAGCATGTAGGTAAGTGTTCTGTGTTTGAGTTAAACTCCCAACCAAAGGGCTGGCATTGTGGCTCAGCGGTAGTGTGCTTGCCTTGCATGCCGGGGGCATTGGGTTCGATCCTCAGCACCACAGTCAAAATTTGCTCATCTTAAAAAGATAAGTAATATTTAAACATTGTTTTTACATTAATTGCATATAATATCGTGGCTATGAAATAGGTTTTACAGTTAGATTTCTTGAATTTGAACCCTGATTACTTTTTTTAGCCATGAAGACTTGGGCCAGGTCTTCTGATTCTTAGTTTGCTTGTGAAAAAAAATAATAGTTCCTACCTCACTAAGGGAAGTGTTAACTGAGATAATATATTTAACGGTGTATCACTTCTTAGGAATAAATAGTACTTATTACGTGATTGACTGTAACTTATCAACTAAAATTAAGAAAATTTTAGAATGAAAATGTTAGCATATTCCAATACAAGGCATTTAAATGGAATAATGACTGCCTTGTGAAGTGAGTTTTCCTAATTATTGAACACCTGTATAGTTCTACCTGCTTTCACTCTTTTGAGTTTCTACTCTCAGAAAATTGAGGTTAACAATGTATAAGCTACTTTGACTTACTATCTATCATTGATACATACTTATATACATTCCAGTTATACTTATTTTTGCCCCTTGTCATTAAGATGTAAATGAGGGCTGGGGATGTGGCTCAAGCGGTAGCGCGCTCGCCTGGCATGTGTGCGGCTCGGGTTCGATCCTCAGCACCACATACAAACAAAGATGTTGTGTCCGCCGATAACTAAAAAATAAATATTAAAAATTCTCTCTCTCTCACAATCACTCTCTCTTTAAAAAAAAAAAGATGTAAATGATTTTTATATATGGTTAATTTCACATCTTTTCCTATCTGCTTAAGAGCTGTGCTCCTTCAGTTACTCATTTTTGTAGATTCTTTAACTATTGTCTGCTGGATTTCTTCATCATCATAGCTTATTATGTAATAGTAACACAAAAATGTTTGTTGAGTATAACAAGAATAGTTAAGAATTTGTGGGGGCTGGGGATGTAGCTCAGTTGGTAGAGCACTTGCCTTGCATGCACAAGGCCCTGGGTTCCCCAGCACCACCAAATAAATAAGAATTTGTGGCCTAGGGCTAGGGATATATTGCTGTGGTACAGTGCCTGTCTAGCATGCATGAAAGTCTGGGTTCAATCTCCAGTATCCCCAAAAAAAGAGAGAAGAAAAGAACTTGTGAGCTAGTAGCTAGGTTTACCTAAATTATACCTATCATCATGATGAATAGCTTTAAGTGAATACTATAATTGAGTAGATTATTTTAAATATCTTTTAATTGTAAATGGACACAATATCTTACACACATATAAAACACACACACATATATGTGTGTATGTGTGTTTTATATGTATATATGTGTATGGTTTGTTTTTTTTTTTTTTTTGGTTAGTGCTGGGGATTGAACTCATGGCCTTGTGCATGCTAGGCAAGCACTCTACCAACTGAGCTACATCCCTAGTCCCATTTATTTATTTATTTTAGTTTTCGGCGGATACGACATCTTTGTTTGTATGTGGTGCTGAGGATCGAACCCAAGCCGCATGCATGCCAGGCGAGCGCGCTACCGCTTGAGCCACATCCCCAGCCCTCCATCAAACTCTTAACCAATTTTTTTTTTTTTTTTAACAGGAGAGGAAAAACTGGAATGAGTATTTGTTTTTTCTCTAAAAGTTGAGGTAATAAATCATATATTTTAATGCAAAAAAAAGGTAATAGGATTTTTTTTTTCTTTTGTCTGTCTCCTACAGGTTCTTTGGCATGGATGATTTTTCAGTGGGAGGATTAGAATTGACCAACCAGATTCCTGCTTTGTTAGGGAGTACGGCCATGGCAGCTAAACTCATGGACATAGAAAATACACGTGGTGATCCAGTTAGTCCTTTAGTAAATAGATCTAGAAACTCATCAGTGGAAGATGATGATGATGTTGTGTTTATTGAATCTGTACAACCTCCTTCAATTTCTACAATAGCCGATCAAAGAAATTTTATATTGGCATCATCAAAACATGAAAAACCACAAGGAAATCATTCCATGTTCCTGACGCCTTCAAAAGATTTGGCTTCTCAGAAGGGAAGTATGTGTGAGACAATTGTTATTGATGATGAAGAGGACATAGAAACAAATGGAGGAGAGGAGAAAAATTCTTCCAATTTTACTGAGTGGGGACTTCCTGCAACTAAAAATAATACCAAAGATTTGGATTTCTCCACTTCAAGTCTTTCAAGAAGTAAGGTAAATGCAGGAATGGGTTATAGTGTTATCACAACAGAATCGACTCTGAGATACATTTTACTAATATTACAACCTTAGAAACAGTGTAATGCTGGGCGAGATATGAACTTAATGATTACACATATAACATCACTGTAGAATACCAACTTGGGAGATATCGCTAAAGGACTTCAGTCAAGTAATTTTGGTGTTAATATACAAACATACACCCCATCTTTAACTTCACAGACCAAGACTGGAGTAAGACCTTTTAATCCTGGTAGAATGAATGTGGCAGTAGATGTATTTCAGAATGGAGGATTTCCAACTCATCATAATCCTGGTAAGCAGTAGGCGATATTATTTACCTTCTACATCAAGTGAATAAACTTTTAGCTATATTTAATGCTTATTTATATCTATTTACATTCTGTATGAAATATTTCTCTTGTCTTTAATATTAAGGCAGTATATTGCCAGGTGCAGTAGCACACTCCTGTAATCCCAGTGTCTCGGGAGACTGAGGGAGGAAGATCATGAGTTCAAAGCCAGCCTCAGCAATGGCAAAGTGCTAAGTGTCTCTAAATAAAGTACAAGATAGAGTTGGGAATGTGGCTTGGTGGTTGAGTGCCCCTGAGTTTAATCCCCAGTACCGCTCCCCCCCCCAAAAAAAAAAACAGTATATTTTACATAATAAAACTGTACAGTCTACTTGGTCTCTGAAATTTTAGGAAGTTAATCCTATTTTACCCAATGTGATTTACATCTAAAGTGTTTTAATTTAAAACCTTCATAACTACTACTACCCTTGTTTATTTTAATATGAAGATTGTAGGGTTGAGGCTGTACCTTAATAAACCATGTACTTAATATATCTAAGGCCCAAGGTTCAGTCCCCAGTAGCAGAAATAATAAATAAACAAATAAGTAAATATTGTAGAATAAAAAGATGGATAGTGAACAAAATAATATGTAATATCAAATTTTAATTTGTAAGTATATAACTTGATGTTTTAGTTTTTGCTTTTTAATTATTTACTTTGGGGCTGGTTGTCTATGATTTTAGTTTTTAAATCACCATTTTATTAGTTGCTTGATTTTAGAAGTTGGAATGTTTTAGAGAAATTTATTTTAAAATCTTTTATGTGTAGAGTCTTTTTTTGATAGATATAGCAAGTTATTTTAAATATTAGCAATTCCTTTTTGTGGCTTTTCTATTACTTAAGTGGGGTTTGGGGGTGGCAGGATTGGTAATGGATTTTTTTACCATTTTAATGCCCTTTAGCCTGTTGAATTTTTTAAAAAATAACTGAAAAGAAACCAGAACCTAAGAACCTAATTCTGTTACTGCTTTACTGGAATGCCAGTTTTTTCTTTATATTTTTAATCTTTTCCTCTGTTATGAGAATACTATATGATTATTACAGAATATTTGGAAGAAACCATGGTTAGAAATAAAGACATATCTGTCTTCTTATTCCAACATCTAGAAGTGATCTCTGTTAAGTTTCTGGTTTGTGTACTTTCAGACTTCTGTGATTTAAAAAAATATATATATAATTTAAAGTATATCATGGATAATTTTATATCACATTAGTATACTCAATCTAAATTGTAGTATTTTGTGTCTTTTAAAATATATAAATACAGTTGTTAGTGGTCACAGACTATTCTTTTGTCTGAGGTACTTATTCCCCTACTTTCTTTTTTTTTTTTTTTTTTTTTTAGCATTTATATATAGTTTCCCAATTTTGACTTTTGAAACAATACACTTGAGTAAATTATCATTTATAATTTTTAATTATTTCCATAGAGTATTTGTTATATGGTTTATATATGAGGTATCCCCCAAAAGCTCATGTGTGAGACAATGCAAAAAAATTAAGAGTAGGCATGGTGGTGCACACCTGTAATCCCAGCATCTCTGGAGGCTGAGGCATGAGGATCTCAAGTTTGAGGTCAGCCTAAGCAATTTAGCAAGATCTTATCTCAAAATATAAAGGGCTGGAGATGGTTAAGCACCTGGATTTAATTTAACAAGATCTTATCTCAAAATAAAAAGGGCCTCATAGTTAAGCACCTGGATTCAATCTTTAAAACTACAAAAGAAAAAACCTGGTTGGAGAAAGGACTAGTTTTAGTCTTTTTAGAGAGTTATACATAGTTTTCTTTTGATATAGCATCTATACTAGACAATTAGTAGTTTTTAAAGGTTCTTAAAAAGTGGAATCTTGGGACTGGGGATGTGACTCAATGGTAGAGAACTTGCTTGGCATGCACTGTAATTTAAAAAAAAAGGTGAATCTGACTATATATAACTATGTAAAACTATGTATAACTCTCTAAAAAGACTAAAAATAGTCCTGTCTCCTACCAGGTTTTTCCTTTTGTGGTTTTAAGGATTGAATCCAGGTGCTTAACCATGAGGCACATCCCCAGCCCTTTTTATTTTGCTTTAATGAGTTTTTATACTCTATTATCTTGAAACCCACCTTTGTATGATTTAGTGTATTGGTTATTTGGAACACAATGGTTCACTGAGTTGCACAAGATCATTTTAAATGTTGACAGTTCAGAAACCTTGTCAAAATCTCAGTGGTAGAAGTTTTCAAAAATGCCGATTTTCACTTAAAAACTTAAATTTTTTCATCATTAACAAATACTGTCAGTTTTCTTGACGTGAAAGATTCATTTCATTCATTTTAAGAAAAGGTTTCCTGCCAAGCAGTCTGGCACACTCATGTAATCCCCACTACTCAGGAGACTGAGGCAGGAGGATCACAAGTTGAAGGCCAGCCTCAGCAACTTAGTAAGACCCTGTCTCAGGAAAAAAAGTCTGGGGAGGGCTGGAATGTGACTGAGTGGTAAAGTGCCTCTGAGTTCAATGCCAAGTACCCAAACAACAAAAACAAAAAGTATGGGCTGGGGATGTGGCTCAAGCGGTAACACGCTCGCCTGGCATGCGTGCGGCCCAGGTTCAATCCTCAGCACCACATACAAAGATGTTGTGTCCGCCGAAAACTAAAAAAAAAAAAAAAATTAAAAAAAAATTCTCTCTCTCTCTCTCTCTCTCTCTCTCTCTCTCTTAAAAAGTATTTCCCAATAGCCATAGTTTATCATTCCAAGTCAGTAGTAATTCCATGAAAATGGTTTAGTTTACTTTCAGTACATCAAATGTGCAACTGCTTATTTTTTGTTTTTAAAAGAGACAAGTAATTTTTACTGTTTCATAAAAGATATCTATTGTGTAATGGAGAATTTGGGGCTGAGAGATAGAAAGCTTGCTTAACTGCATATAAGATGTACAAGGTCCTAGGTTCAATCACTAGCACTAGGGGATGAGGGGGTTTTGATTGGCCTTTGTCCCTGATTCCTGGAGGGGAGTCTTAAGTCCCAGGAGTTTCCAGAATATTACAAGTATGGTTGTTAATTCATGATCTCTTAGATTTATGCTGAGATGAGATGATACAGGATAGCTATGTGATTAATGAATTGGATTTTTTTTTTTTTTTTTTCATTTGGGGGAACAGGAATGGGGGATTGGACTCAGGGCCTCAAGACACTCTACTACTAAGCTATATCCCCTGCTCTTTTTTTTTTAAAGACAGGGTTTCGCGAAAAGACAGGGTCTGGCGGAGTTGTCCATGCTGGCCTTGAACTTTGAATCCTCTGTCTGGGGATATAGCTCAGTAGTAAAGCAGTTACCTAGCATGCAAATATGCTGTGGGTTTTATTCCTAGTACCACAAGTTAATTAATTAAAATAAAACCTTATCTTGTTCTTATCTTCCTCAGGGAAGCATTGGGCATGTTTCATTCAAGTATTTCATCAGCATGTATCAAATATAAGTTTAAGATTTATTTAATGGTTTGCTATTTGCAGGTTTTCTAGTCTTTGCAATTGTAAACCAGGTTTTTCATGAACATCTTTTAGGTTTAGATATTTATTTATTTATTTTTGGTACTTGTGATTGAACCCAGGGGCACTTAACCACTGAGCAATATCTCCAGCCCTTTCTATTTTTGAGATAGGGTCTCACTAAATTGCTTAGAGCCTCACTAAGTTTATGAAGCTAGCCTTGAACTTTCAATCCTCCTGCCTCAGCCTCCTAAGCACCGGAACCAGTGGCATATTTCTTTTCTTGAAAAGTTTCTAGAAGTACATTTTGCAGACAAAATGTCAATTTTTTTTTTTTTTTTTTTTTAATGTTGAGGATTGAACCCAGGACCTCGAACACATTAGGCAAGCACTCTACCACTGCGCTATGACCCCAAATTTATATTTTGTTCTTGTCATCCCTTTATCTTACTAATTCATACCTGTATTTTGTATTTCTAATATTTTCTCATTACATGAAATATTATTGATTTTTAAAATGTAAAAGCACTAAATGATTCATTTGATACCCATAAATAAGTGAAGCAGAAAGTTTCCATAACTACACTTGAACTGTAGTCGTTTATGATATATGACAATTTCTATTGTCTATGAAGTATGGACTGAACTTACATCATTCCTGAGTTCTGTAAAGATCTACTTTTGAAGACAAAACTTAAGAGAACAGTATCCTTGAAATAATAAGATTTATTCTAGAGCTGCAGGCATGGTGGCTGTAATCCCAGCAGTTTGGGAGGCTGAGGCAGAAGTAACCCAAATTCCAAGCCAGCCACAGCAATTTAGCAAGGTTCTAAGCAACTTAGGGAGACTCTGTCTAAAAAAAAAAAAAAAAGTGCTGGGGATGTGGCTCAGTGAATAAGCACCCCTGGGTTCGTTCAATCCCTGGTGCTTAAAAAAAAAAAAAAAAGATTTAATTTAGAATTCTAAAGAAAATGTTCATAATTCTAAAGAAAATGTTCATAAGTTTATCAGGTGAAGGTAATGGTTAATATTTGAAGCTTTCTTTGAGATTAAGTCACTTCTAAGGCAATGTCAGTATAACTAATAGAAAATTTGCTAAAAAACAATGTGATTTAAGGCAGGCATGGTAATGTAGGCCTGTAATCCTATCTACTTTGGAAGCCAAGGCAGGAGGATCGTAAGTTTGAAGCCAGCCATGGCAATTTAGCGAGACCCTGTCTAAAAATAAAATAAAAAGGCCTGGGGTATAGCTTAGTGGTAGATCCTCGAACTGGGTTCAACCCTAGTACTGAAAAAAGAGAAGGCAAGTAGGGAGTGGAGTAAGGAACCAAGACAAGAAATGTGATTTAGTGAGGCTAATGGGGGATGGAGTGAGATGATACATTCAGTTTTAGACAACTGAATATGAGATGATGTAACAGCATATCTATCCAATCGTTTCCAGATGCTGTGCATGAACCAGAGTGCATTATTAATATGAATATG